GTCGCAGAAGTTCCTACGTTTGACGAAGTAAAAGCTGGGTTTTATGGTGCCCGAAAACAATTTAAATGGTCTAAAGACAGCAGCAGCAGAATGTGACCATCGACTTTTACGCACTGAATTAAATTTAGAAGGGACTAAACGTAACAACAAATATATAAAATTGGACTAGAGAATCAAACGTATTATTCAAAACTTTTTAGAAAATAACGACTTAGACAATGGCCTCAAAAAATTATCCATAATCGTCAAATTAGATTAAATTATATTACTGTTATTATTATTATACATTTTACATTGAATATTAATTACCTATAATATTTTATTAAACTATATTTATTACAATTCATTTTTAAACACGCCAGAGTATTGCAAAATAATCTGCCAGTCCTAAGCCTGACCAAGTGTGAAGGGAAATGAGTGTGTACGCAAATGACAATAGATGTCAATCTGGGTAATTACATTGTACGCAAGTGAGAACATTTGTAACTAAAAATAGACTGTACGCATCTGCACCGGATCCGTAATTTGTTATTTATTTTATAAAATATGATTTTTAAAGATCTTAGTATTTAATTATTAAGTTTTATTAAAATGAAAAATGTATTTTAAAAGTTTTAAGTAAAATGTATTGTTTAATTTGATGTTTAGTTAGAGTATTAGAGTAATAAAAATTATGACTAAAAAACATCGTATATGGATGTGCTATATATCGATTGAATGACAATGTCTTCCTCTATATCACAGTATGAATTTAAAAGGTATAACTACAGCGCCAACATATTTATTATAATTCCAAAATGTATAGAATTTACGGCAGCCCTTATGGCTTCCTACGAATGATATGGTGCGACAACGGCCTAAAAATTATCGAAAAGTAATTTTTTTGGCGGTCAACGTGTTACAATAAATAATAACATAATATTTAAATACTCACATTTACATTTAAACATTAACTATTTATTGGTACCTACTACTTAAATACAGTTTTTAACACAAATCAGTTTTAAATCACAAATTTAATCATAATAAAAGATGCTCTCTACGTGGTTTTAATGCTAATTCATTAAGCACTTCTTCAGGGTCAATTTTAAAACTGTTATGAACAGCCAACATAGCAAGACCATTTAATCAATTATGTGTAATAAAATAGTAAAGCATTACACTTAAATTAAATCTCTACCACAGAAAGTATATTATGAAAAATATTGAATATATTTTAATTAAGATACAAACCAGAGACATTGTGTTTCTTAAATATGTTTTCATTCTTTTCAGAGTTGAAAACATACACTCTGGCGATGACGTCGACACTGGTAAAGTGCATAGCACTTTCAGTGGGAAATAAATATTAGTGTAAATGTCTTTATTACAAATATCTAGACTCTAGAGCCCCGAAACCAGTATTAGGTATTTTTCCAGATCGTTGTATCTTGGTTGTCCACAGTTTAAATGCAGCCCAAGAATCATAAGACACCATATAGGAGAATACAATTTAGTTAATTCAAGTAAGTATAGGCTTGTAATATACTCGATGTTGGCACCATTTAACGATAAAATATGAATTAGGAAATTTTATAACATAATTCGACAAGTACATTATAAAGATGCATTACTCCTTTTATAATCAAAAATAATACGGTCAATTGGGGAGGGGGTGTTGCATGACACCCCTTCTTCCCATGAGCACTCCCCTGCACTGAACGGTCAAAAGCAAAAGAAACAGAAATGTCAGAAATACAGAATACAGAATCACACATCCACAAAATATAAAATATGAATCGTAATTTTATATTACAAAATAGATCGATGAATGATGATGAACTTCTCATGACAACACATTGTGTATCAACTGAACAAATATGTTTGTAAAATATCCGTTAAATCAGAAAAACCGAATACCCGATGACGATATTAATATAATTAAGGTAAACTGTGGGTATAACACTAGGTAACTTATATAATATTGCTCATTTGGAAAAGGAATTTTCACATAGAAAATATTTTATAAAGTTTATTATTTGTTCCAGGGGTATTAGATATATAGATATTGCAATATACCTACATATTTTTATGTTCTTTTGAAAAATATTTTAATAAAAATAATATTCGGAGTTTGTCGATTACGTACCAGATGCAGGTAAACGATTTTTTGCACACCTTTTCCGTGTGCCGATTGCGTCCTATTGTATAGTAGGTAAGCGTTAATGTGACAGTTAAATTGACATATTAAATCTAATATTTTTGTCATACATGGAGTGGAGGTTAAACACGAATTGGTTTTTACTTGATGAGCTTACGAACATTTTATCTGGTACTCTTATCGATTTACGATCACGTAGCGATTTAGTACGTCAAGTGTCTTAGAATCGAAAGATACTTTAAAGTTTAGACTTAATAATGAATACCATTTTTAGTGTATAATATATTAATTTTTAATCCGTATAATTGATAAGTTTGAACATCGTTTTCACAAAATATTGGCTAATGATGTCGAGCGTTGGAGTTGCACAAATAAAAAATGCAAATGTTATGCTTATATATCATACAACAGAACGCAATCGGAACATAAAAAGGTAAGAAAAAATAATTTACCTATCCGACTTGTGGACGCAATCAACATACTAAAAGGTATAAAAGGTTGAACGGGACGCAATCGAATGACGCCCATAATATTTAGTGAAACAATGTTCTTCTTAAATATGACAAAATAATAATACATTGTTAATCCATTAAAAATTGTTCACTCCCGGTTTGATAAATTATTATTTGTAGGATGATTTTTTATATCAATACGAACATTTAGGTTTGAATTAATAACTTCTTTAAGACGTGGATAAACAACTTGTTACTTAACAACATTTTCACTGTGAGGTATACATTATTTTCAGTGCAAATAAAATTAGTTCAATAACAACTCTTTTGCTAGTTTTGAGATCAACGATTATAGTGTATGATGGTAATTAAAGAAGTTTTCGAGTTTAGATTAATAACTAATAATTTATTACACATGCCGTACAGACGTACTACAGTTCAACAGTTGATAGTTAGGTACATGCTGAAAACTGCGAAAACGGTATGTAGAGAACACTTTATGACGGTACTTACATGTAGATATAGAGTTATTAATCGATCATACTTTTTTAGACCTTTAATGGAGTGTGAATAAACATTTTAAGATCAAAATTATTTTGAATCATTACGACTTTAAAGTACAATAGTTCTAGGCATAACTAGGTGTGGATGGGGGGCTAGAAAGAGCTAGGCCCCCTCAAATATTTTTTTTAACAGCCCTAAATAACTTGATTAATTATGTTCTACTTCTATTATCGTATTTATTTTTATAATGAAAAAATTAAATAAATGCAATAAATAAAAACTTGCTTCGAGCATGGCACAAAAACGATTTTCAAACCTATCACTGTTAAATATTGAAAAACGTTAAAAAAAATCAATTAAAAGCTGAAGATATAATTAACAATTTGGAACTTGAGACGGGAGAATTAATTTAGTATAGATAATTATTTATTATGAATCTTTTATTTAAGCAATTTATTCATAAGCTTTGTATAATTTTAGCATCCTCAAAATGTAAGGTCTAGAAGGGCCAAAATGTACACAACATATTGTCGGTGCAATACATCTTTTTCTTGGAAAAATATTACAAACAAAAAGAAAACCAAAATATACCATATAATCTACATGCGTATATATATCTATATAAATATATATATATATACATATATTTATATATTTTTGTTGTTTTATAATATTATCTCTCGTTAAACAATAATAATAATAATAATAATAATAATAATAATAATAAGCGATAATAATTAATTAATAACAATAATAATAATAATAATAATAACACGGAGCACCTTTTCTAGTAGTAGTGGAAAACGAAAAGAAATAAAAAAAAATATAACTGAAACACAACGAGTGTACCTATATGATATATAGGTTATATTATAATATACGCGTTTCGGAAGAGGACGAGGATGAGGTGACAAACATAATATCATTGATTATAGATGATGATAATTACTATCTAAGACCAATGATAATATTTATATATATAAAATACATATATAAATTGATATCAATAGCTATTACATAAGATACGAGAACAAACGATAAACGTAATTTAAAAAATATACAATAAAAATGATATATTATTATGTGCGCGTGTTTTACTTGACTGTTGCTGTATACAACATAAAAATATTTTGTTTTGTTTTTCATATAATTATATAATATATAATATTCTTATCTAATAATAAAATGACAAAGTTTAATAAAATTCATAAAATTGCGGGCGACGCGCAAAAAAAAAATAATTATAATTATAAAAAAAACAATATATCGTTTTTTTATCGTAAAAAACTATCGTAATATATACTATATATTATATATATATACCAATTTAATTATATATATTATATAATATTATACTCTTTAAATATTAAAAATCGTATTTTACACATTTTCACTTCGTCTTCTTATCGATTAATTTCACAATATAATTACCCCACATCACGTTAAATTTCCTATTCATTTTTATAATAATAATATTAACGAAAACAAATTAAAACTATTCGCGTATTATAATAATTTGTTATATGATATATTCATATATTACACGTATACATAAATAAAAATACGCAGCCGGTGCCATAATCGTCGTCGTCGGACGACTTACAAATAAAATACATGTATAATATATAATATGTGCTACAACTTTTTGCTGTGTCACCACTATTTTACATACACGATATTCAATGTAGGTATATATAATTTAAGGTATCGTATATTACATATATAATAATATGTTAAGTCGCTTAGAGAAAAAAAAGAAAAAAGTATTGTAGTAGATGACGACGACGACGACTCTTAACATTATAATTTATACAAAACACAAAAACACGTAACACATAATATAATAATAATAATAATTATTATTATTACATTTAAACGCGAGGTGGCGGCGGCCACATTTCATAACATTAAACCTATCTAAATGTTACATATATTTATCTATCTACACAAAGTTATAATATTATACACTTAATAATAGACAGTATAATATCTATAAAATATCGTACCTAAATGACGTGTAAAAAATATGATACAATAATATTTATTATATCGCGCGCGGAATTTATTCGATATCATATTATTATTATGATATATAGGTACGAGGGTACGATAGCGACAGCTATACAAGTGTGAGTGTGTGTGTGTGTGTATGTGTGTGTGTGTGTGTGTGTGTGTGTGTATGTGTGTGTGTATCTGTACAATACAATAATAATATGTGACGAGTGTGTAAAGTAAGTTTCTATTAATTAGATTCAATTTTCTCAGTTTTTCGTACAAATTATACATCGATAAAGTATACAAGTTTCCGATAGAAAAAAATATAAACAATAATGATGGATAAATCCTCCTCGGCCGCCAGCACTATCCCTCCCCCCCCTCCATTTCTTTAACACCATGATTAGCAATATAATATTATAATTAATAATATACGTATTCTAATCATAATAATATTATACAATATATGTGTTTATATAGCAAAGTACATAGAACACGCACTAAATTCTAGTATCATTATTTACAAATACGACGACGACGACAAAAAAGTGCAGCACGCGTGGTGGACGCTGATCGAAAATGAAATAATTATATTAATTTTTTTCTTTTCCCGGAAAAAAACAATAAATAGTACAAAAAGCAATGCTCGCCGCGATACATGGCGATGGACGACGTTACAATTACGAGCCGTAATATGATATCATTATTATGTATACTTCACTTTATCGATTTATATTATATTATATTATTACGTGTGAACGCGACGTGTGCAGAACGTGTACGATCGTCGTCGACCACGATTAAAGTACCTACCTAAATAAACAACGCTCGATCCGAAGATTAACAGAGACAACAACAACGAAATCTTTCGTCCACTCACTCATTACACACACACACACACACACACGTATACATACAACGAACACAAACGCAAGACGACTACAACGAGAATATTAAGCTCTAGTCTTCAACAAACACACACACACACGCACACGATCTCCTCCCGCAATGGAAATCGTTTTTACAAGCGACGTTCTTATACATTTGAGACCGGGACAATTTTCACACAGATAGTTGTACATAATTATTATACCTATTCATTACGAACTTGTAGGGGATTTATGTCCCGTTTATATATATAAAAAAATACTATATAACAACAACAGTAATAATAGTAATAATAATAATAATAATAATAATAATAATAATAATATCAATATTCTATTTCGTAAACACGCGATATATAATATGAGACACTACCTTGTAACAAAACAATACTATACATAATATATAATAGAATATAGAATATATTAAATATGCGACGGCGGTGTGTGATCTCGCGAGATTTTGCAATTTAAAAAAAAAAACATTTTTTTAGTTTTAAGTTTTTTTTTTATATTAAAATATAATGTACTAATAATATAATATAATATTTTACACAGCCCGTCTGCGACGACTTTGCTCATTGCTGCTGCAATAATGCTGCTACTGCAGCTCTTCGTCTAATCCGCCAGCTAAAGAGATCACCGACGCGATGACGATCGTAGACGAATCCTTCGCCGAGTCGTCACCGCCGCCGCTACCACCGCCTCCGCCACCACCGTCGCCGCCGCCGTCGTCATCGTCGTCGTCGTCGTCGTCGTCGTCGCAGCCTTCCTCCTCAGATCAACTGCCGTCGACCGAGAACAGTTCCTTGTGCAAAGCCGGGAACTCCAAGTGTGGTACCGTACGACGCAACTTAGCCAACGCTTCCATGTGCAGCATTCCCAGTTGTCTGTGAAAAAAACCACCAAACCGTTAGTCATCACGACGTTATATTATTAGTATATTAATATAAATTTCAAAATATATTAAAAAATATTTACTTTTAGTTAAAATAAAATTGCAATTAATGCATATATGTATGCGTTTAACCATCGACATGTTCAATAATGTTAATTACAGTATTATAGGTCTTAGGATAAGAGAAGCATGTATGTTAGGTTTTATCCTAACTTAGGTAGGTACGTATATATCTATGTCTAGTTTAACTATATAGGTCATGATGGTCCAACCTTTTGTAGGTGGCGGATCAATGTACACATTTATATAAAAACATATTTTATAATGCATAAATTATCACAATACTGATTAATATAAATTTATAATTATGATGCTTCGATTACTTAAATATAAAAAGAATTTGGAAATATGTGATGATTGGCATTGTTTTCCAAAGGCCAATTCTTAAATTATTAAATATATTTACTACATAATATGTCTTCTATAAGGAGGAGTAAATAAAAGACTGATGGCTGAGGGTTGGACCCCTTGATATAAATAGATAAATAGTGTATTCGTACAAATATCGTTTTCACTAATATGTATTGAAATATGTACTATATGTGAATGCATATTAAATAAAATATATATTTTTTTATGCCATATAATATAAAATTTCACATTTTTCGAGAGGATGATATCCTCCTTCTATCACACACACACACACACACACACACACACACACACACACACACACACACACACACACACACACACACACAAACACAACCACCGACAGTATACAACATAGGCACATTGCCTGTAATAGGTATACGTTTGCTGTAACCACGATCCTCTTCATTCTACGTCACACAAATGCTGACTGAGTAGGGTTGCTTAAAGAGCTATCTCTGTATAGAACGAAGAAGCCACGGCAAAGCCCGCGATGCTTGTCAATAAGACATTCTTTATCTGCAAAGCTTGCGAGAAAACGATTTATTAATATACTGAGTTAACATCTTAAAATACCCCTCTGGGACAAGGTCGTTCGAGACGTTTGAACTGTTAAATCGAAAATATCAGTAAAATTGTTATAAAAACAACTTACGCCGGATGACAAACCGTCACACTCATTATAAAAAAATAAATAGGCATTACGACCATTATTTTCCTGTGATCTATCCCCCCCCCTATTAAATCACAATAACTTAGATATCCACTCGCTTTTTTATGACTATCGTGAACCAGGAATTCCCAAGTGAGGTTGTTATCAAAAATAACCGCTTCAATGGACTGAATAATAGTCTAGCTATACAAATATACAACTTATTATGTTCTTATATATCCATAACATTTAAGATTTGTTATATGGTTAATTCGAGACTATTTCGAGTATATGAATAGTCTATTAATATTAGTTACACAACTATGGAGGGGTGTAAGTAACGTTTAGTAGATGCCCTGCATTCTGCATACGCTTTAACAATAAATATTAGATTACGAATTTAGCAATCATTCACATATTATAATAATATAACATGTTTGAAACAAATTCGCATGCGCAATCCGAATATATCGGTAGAAAAATACCATCGTTATGTAATAAAAATATATATTGATGTTTATATTTATTTGTATGTGATGATTTAGTATAATGCAGCAATTTAATTAATTACGTCCTATAGTTTCACAGTTGGGTATAGTGTCATTCATGTGTATACTTATTAATTTCTCAAAACGTACTTTGTATAGAAAGTGAAAAAATGTTCAGTTTAACAGTTTGGTAAAAACTTTATGACCGAGTAAAATTAACATTGCCACATTTATCATGAGTACCACTGTCAGATGTACCGGTTTGTATCAATAATATACCTTTTGTCACTGTACTTTATCAATTATCATACACAAATTTAAATATTAAAATTATTATGCACTTTCATGCTAGTTTCTTTTCTGTCTTACAAATAGCATGTGTATGTAAAATTTAAATAATAAAAATAAAAATATTAATTAATCAAAAATAAATTATGATAGCTGATATAGCCAGTAGGTATTAATAATAATATGTCATGGTATTAGGAGGGAGGAGGTTTAAGGGTTTAAGCTCATCACGGCTATATTAATATTTAATTCAGACCTACCAAAAACTAAATTGAACCAAGTTAGGTTAGGTATATTCTTAAAAAAATTTCTGGCACCACCACAGGTAAAAATTAACTTTTTTACTCCTAATAAGAAATCAAATGCAATACCAAATTTTTACCTCAGTTTGGTTTTCTCTTTTACGTATACTGTATACATAATAGGTATATCATGAAAAAAATATAGAAGTTATGTTTTACTATTGGTTTATTATTTTTGTGTCTATTGAAGCTTAATTAAAAATAAAAAACTTGCCGACTGGTCCAGTTGTGTATTATTAGTAGTAAATAGAGGAGAAGTCATGTATAATATTCGAGATAAAAATCAATTTTATTTGCAAATGACAAAAAAAAATGTATTTTTAATCATAAGTGTATTTCTTTAATATCAGCTATTTCGTGAAAATACAAACACGTTTTTTTATAATACATCCATATTTTGATTGTTGTGAAAATATACCAAAGTACCTACGCACCACGTACACTATTATTTATATTCAGCACGCAAAATATGATGAATTTTTTTATTGGAAAAGTGAGGAACGTATTCCGTATTCCTTTTTGTGTTCTATTGACTCGAAGCAGAACTCGTTGTATTTATCGCACGAATAGTAGCATGGAGGGGTAAGGTGGGTGGGTTAAGCTGACACGTATCTACAGGACGGAAATTTGATTCATACGCGAGCGGGGAGGTAGTATTTGGCATTTGCAGTGGCGGATATAATAGCCTTAATATAATCACCTCCCCTCTCACAATATATATATATATTATATGTATTGAATAACCATCTACGCGTTCAGCTGTATATTTGAAATTCTAAACGAATTGTGTTTTCTACCTTCAGTGGTACGTATACATCCACCGCAGCTACTATTTATCTGTTCTAATAGTAGAACATAGACGAAAATGTTTTATTCGGTCGATTACACTCTGTTTACGTCCAAATTGTATGAGTAAGAATTTAAACCTAACCTACCACTGCAGTATAAATATCACAGCCACGTAGAAAAAATCAAAATCAACGGTCATTTTACATCTCACTGATGAAAATTTTACGAAGGACAATCTTTCTGCATCTTAATGTTGTCATAAACGAATAAGGCTGCAATTTTATTTTTACTTTTTTTTAACCACGTTACGTCATTTTACAAGAAAAACTGAATTCGTTAGCCTGAGATGATCTTTTTCTATCGACAAAAAAGTAATAGTGTTAATTAAGAGTTTTGAGATGAAATAATGGCTAAAGTAATATGTAACTAAAACTCAAACGGTTATAATTTATTTTTCTATAGAAATGTTATAAAACACTAATAACATTTTTGTACTATTGTATCCTAATAAATATATAGGTAGAATAATCTTGAAAATATTGTTATCAACAATTCAGAAACTAAGATTTTCTACAAATTTATCTTAATTTGTAGAACTTGTTGGACTTAGAGAAAAATAATTATTTAATGTAAAGTAAACTTTTCAGTGTAATGTTGACGTGTTAAAAAATAATTTGTAATGTTGTAATGAAAGGTAACTAGTTTAATTTGTGAATTGGCACGTAACCGTAACAGCGGTGAGGCAGATTTAATTATTAATGACGAGGTATGAGAAAAAACTTGACGCTTAAATTTAAATTTTTAAGTTCATCGAAGCATATTATACAAACTACAAAGTGAATACAAAATGATATCAGTCAAAAAATATCAAACGAGAGTATTACACCTATATGTATATTGTATATTACCTATAGGGTTTTGGTGGCTTAGACTTTGTACAATCTACAGTCTGTACGTTTTTTTAGTAAGATACCTATTATGTAATAACAATTTTAAGAATATGACTTAATTTTTACCATATTTAATTTTGACTTTGCAGTAAAAAAATATGTTTCTTAATTGTTGACAAATTGTACACACACACATAATAAAATGTATCAAAAATCATGCATACCTACCATACGTCAAATATATTATTTACTACTTATTTGATAAACGTACCTACCTACATATATAATATTATGTCGAACCAATTTTGTTCAATATGTATTAACACTACACTATTGACTAAGTGTATTTACTTTAATTATTTATGTCGATTGAATTACGCAGGTGTTTGTTATATCTTATAAATTAATATTAAAAATATCAAAAAACAAAGCTAAAATTAATTTTGTAAAATTAAATTCAATGTGCAATTTAACTTTACTTAATAATATTTTTTAGGTATTTGACAGCTGATTATATTTGGTACAATTATTATACTCCTAAAATCCAATTCTAAATTATATAACAGTCAGTTCTCACCTTAGTATCGGGATCTTTTGTATAAGAGCATCACACACTTGATTTTGCTGCTGTTGCTGCTGTTGATGATGCTGCTGCTGGTGTTGCAGATCGACGGTGGTGGCATTTTTGCCACCCGCAGTCCTATGGTCGAGCTCCATGCGCAGAGCACGCAGAATAGCCTGTCTGAGGCGACCGATCTCCACGGTGCCTTTCAAGCCTTGCCGGTCTGTAACAAAATTTAATCGTGAAATAAAATAAAATAATTTCCATGTGAAAATGATACTAAAGTCATATGTACAGGCACACAACAAACTAGAGGGACTAATTGTAAATTTCTGTCGATAGTTATGTGTGGTTAGACGACAGTAAAATTTACGGTCAATATGAAAATATACATAACACTCTCCAGAAAATCAAAAACATTACTATTTTCAAGCTGAGGCTAAGGACACCATTGAAACTATCGGATCGTGTGGCTTAGCCAGAATAAATCTATAAGGTATGTCAGGGGAGGCAAAACTTTTTTTGATGAAAATCTACTGAGAATATATTTTTCTTATGTAGAGCTATTACATACAACTATAAAGCAACAGCTGTTATTACGATTTATTAAAAGCGTTACTATAAATATATAATAATACATTCTGCAGGGGATCGGTCTTGAAACGGTCTGAGATCGACTGTTTGGTCACACTAGGTTTATAGTGTCATGGATAGTTTATAAATGGATAGATCCACATTGCTGGTCGAAGAATCTAGTAGAATATTATATACCTGCCATTCGCTTATCAAAATCTCATTTATTTTTTCGGATTCCGAACCATCTGAATCGGGAGAGTGTATAAAGTCAAGGCATATCTCAGATGCTATGTGTTATTGGTAAAAATCATATTATTATATGCGTAGAACTTAACCGGCTCCACAATCTAGTTGATTGTACTCATTCGTAGTGTTTCTGGTACATTAACATTATCATTGTCACGGAATACCAACCTGGAGACAGCAACACGACGGCCGAGTATAGGGCCAGCTCGGTTTCTGTAAGTTTCAACGAAGCCACGGAACGGCTCACTTCGAAAGCCAACGAGACCAGTTTCTTTTCGACCGTGTCTTGCGTGTAAAACGCGTCGGCTGGTAGCAGGGCATCTGCGTAGTAGACGCAATCTCGGTGTAGATCGTAATGTCGGGACATCCTTAACACTGCCAACTCAAAACTTCCTGTTAGAACAATAAAGAAATTAATTTCACAAATGATACAATTACGAACGTTTTGGACCGGCACATATATATATACGAAATGTTTACGATCTATAAAGACGAGATCGACAGGTGACAGCAAATGACTTACAAAAGAAAAGTAACCAAAAAATATGTCCGTTACAAAACTTTGTTATGGTGTATGGTGACAATAATAAAATATTCAGTAGGTATAATAGCATTTTTTTTTCGAAAGCCGTGTGTTGTAATGTTTGTAAGAAATACAGTACTTAAACTAAAGCTGCGTGGCTTGCGTTTGACTTTATAACTATTCAATCATACAGCTTCCGCAGGCTTGCTTTCCCCGAAAGATCTGAGTCTTGTACGCGTCATATCATTTAGAGTTTAGACTATGCTACTACCTAGTCTTTGCGATGTTTATACATTTTACCGCTTATAACCGATGCACAACTTACCCGCTTTGAGTAGCACGATCTGGTCGTCTTGCGATAGTTTCATGAAGCCGGGCACCATCTTAGCAAACTCAATAATCTGCTGAATGACGGACGTCAACTTTTGAGCGCACTCCAACCACAGCTCCTCGTGGGGCTAAAAATTTAAAAAATTAAAAATTAAATTCTGATCGATAACGAAAGTTGAGAACATAAACATTATTACAACTTTTTTTCGAATATATTTTCAGCATCAAATTTATAATTATAGATATAAATAATGCCTAGCTGTGTTTATGATTTTATTAAAAACAAGTGTTAATTGATCATTTAATTAGTTAATTAAGTTAATTCTAAAAGCGATATCTTCGAAGTACCATTTATAATTTATATACTATGGAACTTTATCTACAAGAATACAATTCTACCTGAAAAATATTGCAAGTACACATAGACTACTAAAATTTAAAGGTAGTGTGAGGTTTGAATGGTTTTAACTAACCATCCTTGACTCTTGTCTTTGAGACAGCAAGGGCGGAATAAACTACTGAAGGGCCTACAATCTACATAGCCTATATATAGAGTAGCAAATCATGTATTCTAATGTTAAGTATTTGAACCTCATCAAGCATTTGTAAGGTGTTTGAAGTTTGAACACATTCAAAAAGTAATACAATTAATTGAATCAAAATTATATTTATCACCAGTTAATACAAATAGATATAGGTACTAACAATTCAAGATAGTTAACAGGTATATTGATAAGATAAATCTTTCTAAAAAGATTGTGAAATTCATCTTCAACGTAATTCATACTTAAACTATTGTTTTTAGTTTATTATCGTAATATTGAATTTGTTTCGTTTACATTATTCTAATTGTGTATCTATTACGTATTAATATTTTTTTCAAACTAGCATAATATCTTACTGTTGTACAGTGTATAGTGTATACCTATATTTGTTTTAAATTAAAAAACTCACATTTTTTAGTACATAAGATTACATTTGTTATAAACAAATTAGTTCTCGACCTAGCATTTAAAATTTTGCCAATTTCTAATAAAATATGTATGCACTTTTAAAATAATGAAAAAATGAAATGCTTAATTTAAGATCGTACATAAAATTTATCTTGATGGACGGGAAAGAATCAAATGTTTTCGTATCCTTTATTTATATTAGATGGATAATTTTCGTTTAAAACTAATTATGAAGGATAATTTTGAAACTATGGACACTGTGACACAAAATTCTTAGATAAGGTAAGTTACAATTGAAAATTTCGTTCACGGTAAAGTATATACAATGCCATAAGCCGAAAAGCTCCGACTAAGCCTATTGGCGTTACGTAAATACATAATTCTATACACCCAAAGACGACTTACCATGGTCTTGTACATTATCAATTTATCGGCAGTCGCCTTGTTAGCCGCCGCCATGGTGGCTGTTCGGTACATGCCGTCGTGTATCTGGTCGAGCGTGTAGAAACACGTGCGGGCGTGAGCGTCTGCGATGGTCTTGCTCAGCAGCTCACTTATCTGGACAGCGTCTGCTGCTGAAATTGGTAAACGCACAAAGTTAGACACATAAACCTCAATATCATTATTAATAGTAGTATTATTAGGGCGCATAGCGATATAACCACGTTACAAACGCACTGCACTTTGATGCTCTACAAAGATGTGTGCTGTACCTAATCTATAATGTGGCCTATTAGTAGGCGTGGATTAAGAGGGATCACGACTCCCCTAAAAAACATCAAGATTAGATCTTTTATGTTTAGTTGAAAATTGACTTATGCATAAATGCGTTTTAATTTTTTTCGCACTAAAGATGTTTAAAACAATTAATATTTACATGAAGTACTCGTATAAATATATGTAGTAAATTAATTTTTTATACAACATAAATACATTCTAACTACATCACAACTGGTTCATAAAATCTCACTTCTAAGAATATTAAATAGCGATTTAAAATAAACTGACTGAAAATAATATAATATTGGCGAGTAAGTATGTAATACATACATATTTAATAATAAATGGGTAAAAATCTTTAAGTGTTGGAATAAAATATAAGATTGTTTTTCAACCCTTAATATACGTCTACACGCTTGGCTAACCACAGGTCTGGTCTATATTGACATTATTTTTGTATTTCTAATAACTTGTTACAAAGTACCTTATAAAAGGTAAATGAGTTGATTGTGTTTAATCATTAATGTTTATGGCTGGACACTTCAGTCGTCCTTCGTAGGAAAGTATACGATAAGTTGAGGACAGTTTTTAAGGCAATAAAATAGGCTATTTTTAAATTGAGTGCATACGGGTTTTGTAAATGTGTGAGTAGAAAGTAATTAAAATAATTTAGCGTAATGGAAGTTATGAGGAGATGATGCTCGAAATTAAGAAATTCCAAAGATAACTAGGAAGGTACGAAAAAAGTTCTAAACCAAATTTAAACGGCCCGGAAATCAGTGTATATGTTGTATCCGAGTTATGATGTGTCTAACGTATTATTATTATTTACTATTAAAAAATAATATTTAAAGATAATTAAACAAATTAGTAATTACCAATTTCAAATTTATAAAAAAAAAAATAACATACAAGTTTTTACCAGTGTCATAATATGAACTTTTAAATAAAAACAAAAATTCTAAAATGTAACCTACTTGTAATAATAATGCTACAGTCTGTGTCAAACTGGGAAGGACAATTAAGTTACATAATATAATATGATATTTTTTTTTTATATTTTTTATGAAAATTTACCAAAAAAAAAAACAAGAACCAAAATAAATTGGTTTGTAGACACCATAAAAGATAATGTAGGACCACCACTCGGGAGAAATGTTAACGACCGGCCAAAACTAGTGAAACCACCCGGAATTCCTTTACGCAAGAAAAATCCATTCCAGCGGGACGAAGGGAGTCGTTCAGCACACACAGATGGGGTAACATAGCTCTAACACACACTAATTGTGTTAGCGTTTATAGTGTACTGACCCGATGAAACAGCGGCAGTAGACCCGGAAACGCCGGCCATCAAGTTGTCCTGTGGTCCGGTAGCGACTGCCGCTACTGACGACACTTCCATGTCGCCGCCGTACGTGGACGTGGCCGCGGCTGTCGACGAAGTCGTGCTGGACGCTGCCGGTGTTGTGCTGTCAGCCACGTAGTTGCTGCTCGTTGCTGCCGTGTCGTATGGGGGCGGCACGGAACCGCTAGCCCCGGCCTGCACGGCCGATGAGGTGGCCGCTGCTGCGTACGCCGCGAACGTGTCCACCACAAGCGACGCGGCTGCTGCGGCCGCGTTCGTTCCTCCGCTGCTGTTGTACCCGCCACCTCCATATCTGTAAACGATTGTAATAATATTAGTGAAACGATGACGTGATATTGTTTAATTATAGTAATTACTATAATATGTTAACAAGATCCAAAAGGTTCTGATGTGGGTAGGCACTATTGCTGTTTTTATTTTCCGAACAGCCGGCCTATTATAGATCACGTCATGTTATTTTCCCTCAGTAAAACTTTTCAATTTATTGCAAACATTAATCATATATTATACTATATTATTATTATATTAAACCTTGACATTAAATTTATGTCACTGCTTATGTAATTTGTGATCATTTATTGCCTAATCATGAAAATCAGAATCTTTCGGCCCCGGGCGAGAAATATTTTATTTGCTTTAGATACTATGACTCACCCAACTCCTGTGCCACCATTGGCTCCATTGACGCCACCGCCGGCCGCGGCAGCCGCTGCTGCGGCGGCTGCTGCTGCGGCCGCGGCATAAGCCTGCTGCACATTGCTATTTATGTTGAATTGTTGCTGCTGGCCGTGGAGCTGGTGTTGCTGATGCTGTTGTTGCTGTTGCTGTAGCTGCTGCTGTTGCTGTTGTTGCTGCTGCTGTTGCTGCTGCTGCTGATGGTGGTGTTGCGAGAGATGTCCTCCCCCACTGTGTAGTTGGTGTAAGCGAAGCCCATGGTCGGCGGTGCTGGAGGGCATCTGCTGCTGTTGCTGTTGCCCGTGCCCGTGCTGCTGCCCGTGTTGATCGTGATCGAACACTGACGAGTCAGCAGCCACGGCCGCGGTACCACCACCGCTGCCAACGCCGGTTGTAGTCGAACAGCAGTCGATGGCTGAAGCCTGCGCGGCTACCGCTGCAGCAGCCGCCGCGGCCGCAGCAGCTGCTGTCGAACGCATCTGCGCTCTGTGAAAGCGTACTTCGTCTTCGACCTTTTCTCGCTGTTTCTTGCTCATGCGCCCAAACTTGACCGCTGTACACGGGCAAGACCCGTAAAAAAAAACGGACGTGTATTATATTGTATTACATCAAAATACCGTCACATATTGTCATTCGTACAGTACACTCGCGTACACTACAGTTTAAAGCGCGGATTGGTTATGATTTATTCGTATTATCGTTTAATTTTAGCTTCCGCATTTTTGATAAGTATTTTCTTCGATACGCATACATAGAGGGGTATTGGCATGTTAGGCATGTTAGATTATTTTCTTTCTATGTACAATTATTATAATATGCAACAGTAGTGCAACCAGAATTTGTTTGGGAGTCCCCCCCCCCTGTGCATATGGACCATGGGGAGAGGGCATACTTATTTTTATTCATAGACCGATAAATTTAGTGTAAATGTCCATATGCTATTTGATGTGCCAAATGTTACAAGATGTGTTATCGTAATGCGAATCATCATAAAATCGCTTTTAGTCGATAATTTATCCATTTTATATTCAAAATTAAATAAATTATTATTTTATACGGCATAAATGAGTTGGGAGAAGAGGTATCCAAACCCTTCTGATTCCTCTACTGATTTGTAATGTGACCCATTCATTGCATTTATATGTCTGATTACATTTTATGTATTTATATGGTGAATGACTATACTTATACTGTGATTTATTAGACAAAACGATTTTGATCCGTACGAGTTTACCCCGACGTTGCTAAAATCTTCCGAACTATAGTATATATTTAGTATATATATAATATCGAATAAGTCACAGCAGGTAGTCGAACCGACACAATGCAATTCGTATAACAATGTGTCATAAACAGTGAAAAAATAACATTGCGATTGTGTTTTCGAAAATGTTAAAACAAATATCCGTCGCCAGCGCAACAACGGGGCTAAGTATAGCGTTGGGTATTCAGATTGCACTCCTGGATGTTAATATTAATATAATGATATTGTGCACGCCCAGCGACACTGGTGTGGTGTGCATAGGCGTGCGTGTGTGTTTGGTTGCGTTGACACCCCGGGTCGAGAGTAGGTTATTGACTTGATCGTAAGCTTAACCCCAGCGCCGACATCGCCATTACACAAATCGCGTTTCACAAAAAGTACAGGAAATTATAATAATATATTATAAGCATAGAATGATATATATATGTGTATATTGAATACATTATATAATACAATTGACCAATTTCGAAACGTTCTCGTGATGGTTACATCGTTTATTTTACGTAGTCGTTTTGATCGCTTATTGTATTATAACAAATAATAATGCATAAAAAAAAACTAAAAAAATTAAATAAAATAGACAAATAAACGTTAAAGGGTTGCGACGCACGGGTGAACTTTTAAAGCCATCAGTCAGAATCTACCTTATACAGAGCTATTCTCAATCAACAACCCCCCCCCTCCCCGCCCAATCATTAGCTTCAGCCTACAATTCTTGGCCTTGAAATAATAACGAAAAAACGATACAACGACGACAACACTTAAAAATTGAGAGCGAGTCGAACGAATAACACTGCACAGTGATGGGCGAAACGAAGGGGTATTTGAGAGTCGACCACCCCTCGGTAGACATTTTCAGCGATGGAGGTGCTTGGATCTCCAGGTGGTGGTGACTGGTGTGGTATATCGATAAAAGAAAAAGCCTCGTGAACTCAACCCGTACCCGCCCTGATGAATTGTCGGTGTGGGTGGTTATGAGGATTGAGGAGGGTATTCGATAAAATGCTAGCGACCGTCGATTTTCAAAGTTCGTCACGCCGTTACTGCCGATAGCACCACGTCATTATCATACAACGCGTCGTAATTAAATAATTGTTGTCGTTGTATATTATTTACACACAGTGTGTCACGTTTACATAACTAAGCATCATAAGGCTATAATATTATGTACACTTACCGTCACGGGACATGCCCAGCCGCAGGCATTTCTGGAGCCGGCAGTACTGGCACCGGTTTCTGTTTACACGGTCCACCACACAATTCTTATTGCGCGGGCACTGATAGTTGACCACAGACGACTGAGACCGCCGGAAGAATCCTTTGCAGCCCTCGCACGTGATCACGCCGTAGTGTACGCCGCTCGACTTGTCACCGCACACCTTGCACGGTATAATCTCGATTTGAGCTGAAACACGCAAAACGGACCAAAAAGATTAGTTTAGGATGTCATGTATAAACATAGGATATTATTATACATGGCATAGGACATATTATAATTATGTGGAGTGCACGTGAATTCCAACATTGTTGGAAAGAGACAAAGTCAATACCTATATGGTGCATATGATGGGACCTAAAGTGTATGCCGTCATATTTTTCTGGAAATGTTGTTAGACTTCTTTCTTCCTCTCTCACACACGCACGCTATTAATGGGCATAACAGAAGGGCCAAAGTGGTTGTTTGCCACCTTTTTACAACAATGTTGGCCTCCGAACCTCTCTCTATCTCTGCTATCAGTCGATTATTTATATAGGTCTATGAAACGGACGAAGGCGTCGATACGTGTACGCATTATAACTATACATCATGACGTATTATTGTGTACCTATAAATCGCACAGCGACAGAACTCCGGCAAACGAAATCGGAACGACTGAATTCCAGTTATGCGGTTGGTTTAATATTAGGTATCATCGCAAGTGGACACCATAATCGAATGCGTGTATTATGATACTATATATCATATTATATACAGTGATTTTAAATTATAATATTACGTCGTCGCGTATTTTAGGTACATAATAATAATATAAATGACGAGCGCATTCTGCGAGAACACAATATTCCGTGGTTGCAGCATGTACCCATACACTATTGAAATATCGTACATCAGATATACAAGCGGTGTAATGATATATGTGACGTTTTTACTGGCGAATATAAACAATTCGCACGCGACGCGCACCGAAACGTCGGCGGCAGGTATCGCCCTGTATACACACGACGATGATAATCGGTCAACCGTACGGCGCGCGTAAGGTCATACGCAGACACACTCTAATCCTAGCCCCCCGCACCCCCTTGCCACCACTCACGACACCTGATCCCCGCCAGCCCTCTCCCTTTGTGCGAATAATATAATACATATTATATCCGTATAATGTAATGTTGCGATACACACGGTGCGCATATATTACAATAAATAATAATATATATTATGATTTATGATATATCATAATAATATATTGTAATATATGTATCGGAACACCGATACGGTGTACCTGTGTGAGGCATAATACAATAATAATAAAAATAATTATGTAACGATATTATTATTGTTATTATTATCGTACGCGTCGCCTCCGTCGGATATAAAACAACATTATCGTAACGACAGACGACTGCGTTCGTACTAGTATATTATCATATCGCGATATTCTTCGTGCGCGCCGTTATCGCGCGTTTTTTAATTTTGAAAAACTACCTATTCCAAGTTTAAAAAACGCTCTCCGGCATAAACACGTCGAGCGCAAGACGTACAAGACGGCGGCGGCGGCTCGCGTCTGAGCAAAGCGATCGACGTAATACGCTGCACACTAGAGAGGTTCAACGACCTTGTTGTTTGCTGAATATTGTTGTGTATTTTATTTATTTTTATATATTTAATGTACAACACACACCAGTGAACTGGCGTGTACATAAATTATTATTATTATTATCATTACGCCAAAAAGAAGAAAATTTTTATGTCGACACCGACGACGACTATATACGAGTGGTTTTATATCATTATTATTATTATATGCATGACGTCGTCATAGCCGCCGCTGTTGTATTTAATAAAATCGATTTTACACCTCTCGAATTATCCGTCACCACCACCGAGAAGAAGCGATACAAGTGTAGTCGACGAATTTATGTATAAATGTATAATATATAAATTATTTTATTATAAATACAACTTATACCACGGGGTATCGACGTATCGTTAATACTAAAGCCGAACGGAAAAGCTCAAAACTCCGTCGGTTCAGCAGTTTTCCGTTAATTTTGCATTATAATTTTTTTTTTATTTCGTTTCTGATTTTTTTATATTCTCGCGTGATATTCTCATACGCAAAAAAAATACAAAAAATAATAAAAAACCAACGGTACCACCACAAAGCACCGTCGTCGACATCGTAGTCATAGCCGTTAGTATAGTCAGCTGGCCGGCCGCGGAGTTCAACGACCTACAGGGCCGGCGGCGGCGGCCGGATCGTTACCAACAACACACACACATACACACGTACACTATGTACGACGACGATTACTGCTTTGTATATTATTATTATTATTATTATTATTATTATTATTATTATTATTATTAAAGTTTATAATAATAATAATGATACATTATGCGATGTATTATTATTGCATATTGTGCTAGCGCGACGCGTAACATACCATTATAATATCGTGAATATATTATTGTAAAAACGGCGTAAACCGAGAGACGAAAATAGACTCCGCGAGACGACGACGCCAAGCGTACAACACTCCGCCGACGCCACAGCCGCTGCCATCGGATAGCAAAGTGGATAAACAATGATAACAATAATAATATATTACTAATTATATTAATATTAAATATTGTGTGGCTTAAACATAAAAAATAAATGTATAACGGCCAGGAAAAAAATAATTGAAAACAGTCTTGATGGACGACAACAACAAGACAAGAAGTTACCTAACCGCGCCGAGATGCGGAACGCGATACAACCATAATAATATACGAGTACGTACGACGCGACGACGACGACGATTGCGAAAAAAAATTATTAACGCGTGCGCTGCGTGAACGAATAAACGCCGCCACAGACGTTATCATCAACGGTTGCCGAAAATAGCCGAAAAGTTTAAATAAGAACTCTCTTGAGCGCGCGCGCACGCGATCGTGTGGTCCGAAATAATATATTATAAATATAATATGTATTATATATAGGAACGTGATATTTGGGACTACGACCGTTCGCTTTTCACCGGACGATATTACATTATGGGAACCATATAATAGCATTATAACTTATATTAAATATTAATACAATATTGACATATTGTACATAATTTGTATACGCAGACCATTGTTGGTGCACACCAAAGTACATAATATTCTTAATATTTTTACGTACTCTATATAATTATTATCTATGTATTATAATTTATAATACACAATATAAGCGTATCGGATCGTACCCATTGAAATACCGTTAATCCTGGAGCGCGTTCGCCGGCAAAACCGTGACCTTTTCCGGCGCTCGCGCGATACCAAATAATACCGCCGCAGTTTTATAATAATATTCCAGTCGTGAATAAAATAATAATAATATTAAAAGTATAATCATTAATGCAATAATGACGATAAATGACAATATCTGTGTATGTGTGTGTGTGTGTGTGTATATAGGTGTGCGCTGCGCGAGTAAACGACGACTGCTGCCGCGACGGAGACGTGCTGCATATCATGTGGAAAGAATAGAGAAAAAAACGAAAAAGTATATGCCGTCGCCGCCGCCGCCGCCGCCGCCGCAATAGAAAGTAGGTCAGTAGAGTGTTAGCGGCGGCGGCGGACTGCACCACTGCCGCGGTGGCGGTACCGGTGAAGGTGAGTGGGGTGGTGGAGGGAACAAGTCGTGTGGTGGCGCGCGGTAAAAGTACGTCGGTGCACGCCGCCGTCGTTTTTGACCGCATGTACGTACGTCTCCGCGACGAGGACGTTACCATAAATTAATTTTACATTTCAAAAACGCTTAGTTTTCCGGCGATAGCTGGTGGATGAAAGTTTCTCGTCGTCGTTACGGGTTATCGTAATGTATCGTCGTTGTTTTTTGCAATATTTTGTTTCCACGCGACTCTAGAAAACTTTTTCGGTCGCTATCGGATGAAAAAAGCGATTAGGCACGTGTGCACCTCGTAAAAAGACCATCCGAAATAAATAAATAAATAGTAAAGGAAAGAACGCGACGACGACCACGACGACAACGACGACGTGAGCGACACGCTACGAGTTCGACCGCGATGAGAGCGCGTCCGCAAATGATATGAGCGATGTAATAATAATGTGATATTGTTAAAATAATAATAATAATAATAAAACTGCGGCGGCGGTTTTTGTTGCGCAAAAAACACTTCCACCCGCCCACCCATCGTCATCATTGTATCGTAGTAGACGGCAGTACAGTAGTAGTAGTAGTAGTAGTAGTAGTAGTAGTAGTAGTAGTAGTAGTAGTAGTAATAGTAGTACATTAGTAGAAGTGGTGGAGGTAGTGGAACGGCACATCGTGGCGGCTGTTTTCGGCGCGGCACAACGCACCGCACAGTCGAGTGTGTGTGTGTGCTGCGAACGTGTATGTGTGTGTGACTGGCGTGCGTGTGTGTATTTGCGCGAGCGAGAGGCCAATGACTTTTCGTAGCCGGCGGCGGTCGCGCGCGCGATAGTGTTTCCGCGCGGCCGACGACGACGAAACCGCCACCGCGCAACACTATTATAATACATATACAAATATATATATTTATATTATATGTATATATATATTTATATATCGCACCCGCTCGCTGTGTATGTGTGGGTATATTCATACCCATTATTCGTACGCACACATGCACAGGCCGCCGCGGATGGTGCTGCACCTATGCCGCCGCCGCCGCCGCCGATACGAATTTTTTTCGTTTCGTTCACGTCTCGCACACCACCACAACATCCGCGTGTTAAAACATGATAAATAACGCACACGGGAGTAAAAAAATATGTAATGTGTAACAAGAAGAGGTGTGTTCGCGAACCGCGCAAAATGCGCGCGCGCGACGAGCGTCAGGTTTTTTATGCACTCACAAAATTGTAGCGAACACATATTTTTCCCGGACGTCTCGCGATCTGGACGAAAGAAACCAACGGGAAATAAAACGCCGCGGCATTACAATAAAATAATAATAATATATAATTGATATAACGGGAAACCGCCGGCACTCGGTCGTTGCAGTTCTGTGAAACCGCTATCTCTCGCGAATTACGATGTGCAAAACGATAGACAGAGAGTGAGAGAGTGAGCGAGAGGGAGAATGATAGTGGTAGGTGGAGAGAGAAAAACGCCATGCTCGTCGACCCGCCGCCGACGCGGTGGTACGCGTACACAACCGGATGGAGTT